TTAGGAACGTCAGTAACCCTTACAAATAGACTTTGATTGAAAAATGGTGACTAGGGACCCCCTTTTCTGGTATTCAGAGGGCCGTTCAGGAAAAATTAACCATGGTTCTGTGGTTCCCGCATGTGCCCCTATATCATGCAAAAGACCGTTTTGAAAAAGCTTGGCACACCCTGAAAGACCTTCCTTGTAAGTCTTTGTGTCAGTTTTGCTATGTTCCCCTTTCCTCCATCCAAAGAGGCGCGGTAACGACACAAACACATCTCATTGGGTACTGTAGGCGATCTGATGAGCTGTTTTTTGTCACTTTGAAAGAGTAATGTTCGGGATCGGAGAACGGGAAGCGTCTCTCCACTAGCAGAAATAGCACTGACTTATGGGCGGGCCAATGGTGTTGGGTGGGACCAATGCTGCACCCTGGGGCCTTACCTCCTCGGCCAAAGTCAAATTATCCAAAAAATTGTGTACGTGCTTGTCGCTTGCATCGTACTGCACTTTTTTCTGAGAAAGAAAGGGAAAGTTTAATTTCGATCAGAAATCCCTGACCTTACCTTTAAGTAGAGCCAGCGCTGATCACCCGAAAGCTTCTGTCAATCGGGTACAAAGCAGGAGGTCGCTCATCGAGGTTTAAAAGAACCCGGAAGCTAGTGCATCCAAGACTGCACTGCAGCAACAGGTTTTTCAAGGCCGTTGTAACAGAGCAAAACAAACAGAAGCGTATACTTCAAAAGGGATGGCTGTTAAACATAGACGCGCTCAGTGTCTATGTAAAAAAGGTATTTACAGGGGGGGGGCAATAAAAAAAGACATTTTGTCTCCACATTCAGATGGATTTAATCACACTTTGCTCAATTCAAACCGAATGGTTCCAACTTAGAATTGAAGAGCACATTTCATTTATAAGAAAATCTTCATAGTGGCCACCTACGTGGACGGCATCAGAAAAATTTGCCCCGGAAACATGGTGCACTGGTCGAGCTCAATGGGGTCTTCGAAGGATCGTTGGAAAGCGAGTTTCGAGGGGGTTTGCATAGTGGAGCTAATGTCTCTAGGAAACTATCCAACATTGAATCGATTCACGAAATTATGTAAGAGCTTCAGGCTGAAGCAGTTACGGTAGGCCTCCTTGAGCTTGACGACGATGACAGATGACGTCATATTCTGAAGACGGTGAGGGCAGTGAAGGAGGGCCTGCGTTACTTATAGAGGGACATTTAGGGAATACTTTGCTGAGGAACTCCCGTCAACGAGGCAATCTCTGCGAAGAAAAAAGGGCCGAAGTCCGACATAGGCAAAATGTCTTTTTTTTCCCCCCCCCTGTATATATATGTAGACGACGCTTGCGCTGTAGGAGTGATATCTGAGACTGTCAACCGTTAAATTGTGCAAATAAAACTGTCCAGACGGACCGCTGTCAAGAGACTATCCCCTACAACTTGAAGGAGTGTGCCTAGCTAATCCTATGTTCGTTACTCTGCCGTGCGCCGACAAGCAGACAAATGAAAGCCCAGAGTGTGTCGATAGATTTTCTCAGTTGCTCTTCATGGCGTAATGTCTATATGGACAATGCTGCAGAAGTGGGCGGGGACACAGAATGGATCGGCGGTCCTGGACGGAAAAATGTTGGGGTGGAGCAGCGACAGCGACGCTCTGATGGGCATCAATTTTAAGTGGAGCAATTTTAAGTCAGCAGGTACTCTTTCAATTCGGGGTGGTTACTACTACATTGGTCATGAAATGAATTTTCCTGAATGAGCCCAAAATCTTCACAGTTGACCCCATCAGGGGATAGTATTTGGCTTATGCATTTCGTTTACATATTGGACTCAGTTTTATTAGCATGAATAGTGAGACATGGAGTAGGTAGAGGGAATAACTGAGGGCAACGAACCTCTTCACTTACCGATCTTTGCAATCACTTGGGACTTCACGCTTGTCCTGGGGGTAGCAGGATCTCTCGCTCCCAACGTTGGCCAGCGCTTCGAATAGGTGCAGCCGATTGCCCAAAGCGATTGCTGCTGATATCATTCCATTGACACCAATGAGCTTAATAATAGTACGATTATAGTTCGGGATATCTTCGGAGTATTTTTTTTTGAAATTATTATTCAAGACGCAACTATGAAAAACTCTTCCCCAAAGTAATAATTCAGAAGGTGGGCAGCGAAGATCTTTCAGTAGAAGGCAGACATTAAAGGCAGCGATTACGATAAATTCAAGAAGGGTTATGTGACGTGGTGGTGCTCAATGGTACGCCAGTGGCGAAAAAGCAGAAAAATCCGTCAAGAAAACGCAAAACGGGACCCCCTTTTTTGGCCGTTGGTTTTCACTCATGAACAGGTAACAGCTCAGAAAGTGGAGTTATGAACGAGTTCACCGCAACGCGTTTGATGGCACCATGCCAAACACGCTTTAATCGAGATGCTCCATTTGCGCCGCTGCTGGCAGCTCGTCCAAATCAACAAGTAAACTAGTGGGCGGATCGCTTTTGGGGGCGGAGTGCTTTCGAAGTCCTGCTCAGCAACCAGCGCACCTTTCGTCGTGAAAGCGCCACACCTCGCTTCCTTGGCAGCCAAGTAACTGCTTCGTGTGGTGCATATGCTTCCCCGATGCGCTCCCTCTTTATCGTAATCGCTTCCTTAAAGGAGGATTTCAGGATGAGTCGGGAATCGAACAAGGAGAAACCTACCCAGTGGAAAGACAGGCGGACCGATTGCGCTTTTCGTTGGGTATGCCTTCGGTGACATAGCATGGCCCTCCTCGCGGCGCTTTCGACGCGGCACGCCCATCGACTGGCAAATGGTAAGCTCTCACCGCAGGTCTCTAGCTTCAGCAGAGAGAGATGGAGAGCGGAACGGGCAAGGAGAGAGCCCCATTTCACGGGTTCTAGGCCGTTTCTTGTGGTTTTTTTTCTGCATCCCGACGCACTGACCATTGCTTTTATTTTAATGGGCTGCCTTCAAATTGTAAACGAGGATATTTGGCTAAGTTCCTAAAAATGTATTGTGCCTATGTATGCCAATTCTTCCTGAATTCCTGAACGGGTGTGAAGTGAGTGGCGCATTCCTAAGGGTCTCAACGTCAATAGTCTTCCTTGTCTGTAGGTTCCTTTCCCATTCACTGGTGTTCCGACACAATTCACATAAGCCAGTTGCATGGTTTGGCTTTAGGCGGATCGAACTCTATATAGGCTATAAGAATAATGGGAAATAATTGTTTCTTGGACCCTGAGAATGCAGCGTCATTCCTCAAGCGGCGTCATGGTGGGTAACTTGGCATTGGGTTGGAGATGCCGAAGCACGCCTTGGAATGCTTCAGCGAGAGTAGAAGTATTGATGAGAAAAATCAGCTCGAACCATTTCTGGAGGGCTTTTGGGCTCTAAAACGCCCGATGCTAGAGAGAACCATTGCCTTACGATCAATTACCTTTCAAAAATAAATAAATGTACTCTCCAGCAGTACATTCACCTTTCCCAAAATTTACGCTATTTTTCTATCACGTTTTTTTTTCCAAAATTTGACGGCAATCTACCCTCGCCAATGCAAAGCGTATGTCCAGTTTTACTGAATGATTACGATTTCTTCTAAGCTTGATTGGTTAGACGCAAGCGAATGATCGGCCGCTCTTCTTCTGGTCGAAACTACTCGACAAGTCAACGTACCTGTAATCTCTTTTGGAACTCGGTCTGCTCTGCCATTGTTCTTTTTTGAGAAATCTGAAATAAGGCTTTTTGGGTGAATCAACAACGATTAGATCGGCTGCTAATCACGAACAGACCATTGCTGACAAGGGAGGTCGTTCAGGGTGTGCCAAGCTTTTTCAAAATGGTTTCTTGCATGACATTGGGGCACATATGGGGACCACAGAAGCATGGTTCATTTTTCCTGAACGGCTCTCTGAATACCAGAAAAGGGGTCCCTAGTTCGATTCCTCGTGGTGACAAGTTTTTTGCATTTCGTGTTGACGTTTCCAAAATTCGCGCAAAATGGAGTTAGCATGAATAATTAGTACCAATTCATGATTAGGAACCGTCAGTAACCCTTACAAATAGACTTTGATTGAAAAACTGGTGAAAAAGGTGTGACTAGGGACCCCCTTTTCTGGTATTCAGAGGGCCGTTCAGGAAAAATTAACCATGGTTCTGTGGTTCCGCATGTGCCTCTATATCATGCAAAAGACGTTTTGAAAAAGCTTCGGCACACCCTGAAAGACCTTCATTGTAAGGAATGAAAAACTGATAAAATCAATGAAAAATGAAGGCAGTCACAGAACAGCGCCAGTTGTGGCAAAACAACAAACAACGTTCTTACCGCCCTTGAATCAACAAAGTGCCATTTAACGCGGAACGTGTTTTTGATCGCCGATTGGATATTTATTGCACCCTCGTTTATACCTGGAAGCAGCAAAATACACTGAAATTTTGCGACGCAATTATCAGGGCTTTGGGAATATTTTTATGCCGGTCATTATATCTGAAGCAGTACGAATACATTTAATTTTGCACGTTTACAGGGTCTTCGGGGTGCGTTTCGCATTCTGCGATGGCAGACCGTGCCGCTTTCTTTCCACGCAATAAGGGCTAATTCGGTGAAATAATCTCTCGCCCAGCTTGGCGAGAAGTTTGCCATATCTAGGCGGTCACTTATCTGGTACCACGCTCTTGTGAGTGAATGGAACACCTGCTTGTGAAACGACTTGCTATTGCCTTCGATCAAATAGCAATTCGATCGCCACAAAGATTCCGAGTGGAACACAAATGCGCGGCGCATTCCAAGAGCGGATTGCAAATGAACAGTCTTAAGCATGAATTGACTAGCATGATGGGTTTCTTCGAAGGTGTTCGGATTTGAATGGCACATTTTACCTGCTACATATTGTTACATCACTCAAAGAGGGACGTAAAAATGCGATGTGGACCATCATTATGAAAAAAAAACTTCTTTTTGAAACTTGAAACCCGTAGTCCTTCTGTTTTGAGCGTAGGTGATTTTAGCGTATGAGCATGATATCTGAAACACTGAAGGCTAAGGCGAGGGAGCACAATCGGAGACGAGCGAACATGCAGACAGACCGAGACGCAGACACTAACGCATTCGTATATACAGTTGCCTGAAGTTCTGCATGCGGCCGGGCCTAATATAGTATCCCGGGTTTGAGCGAGTTGGGTCTAGAAAACAACATCACCCTTTGTGGTTGTGGGCACACCTGTGAACCCTATTCACGGATTACGTTCCTACACTGGGATGAACTGCGAAATGTGCCTTTAGGTTTTTCTTATAAGGGCTGGTTCTGAACTGAATCCTTTCATGATACTGAGAATCTGTGTGAATGTCATACTAATACATATGGTGAAAAATAACGTTCTCCATTAAAAGTACTCCTCTGTCAAGGTATGAGTAAAAAAACTTTTCCCAGTAACAGCTTGTTCCCACACTTCACGCCCATTGACGAACACCGACCGCACTGCATAGCTAGACAGTCCTCTGGATATTCAATAATTACTGAAGAGTTACAAGCATCTCTACCTACTGTGTACAACATCGCTCCATTATATAAACCACAACTTTGGTGTGTCGTTTGTCGGTGTGTGTGTCGTTCTGTCCGTCCGGACCAACCGCTCAACAAACCAGGGAGTTCGAAGGGCAACACTTCGTGATGTTGATGTCATGATCATGATAACACCCACAGCGGCTATATAAACACCGATCGAGCACACTCAGTCTCTCATTCTACATGGTGCTGCCGTGGCAGCTGGAGGGGTGGGGTAGAAGGGAGGGGGCAGGAAAGGATAGCGAGAAAGAAGGAGGGAAGGAGGGGGAGGGGAAAGTGAGAGAGGACATGGTGCTGCAGTGGCAGCCGGAGGGGCAAGAGGGGAGGGTTGAAGAAGGGCGGGGTGGGAGAGGAAGCAAGTTGGGAGAACAACCGCTTTCAAGAGGAAGGGCTATTCCGTGTTGACGTATTACTTTAACGTGATGTTGTGATTCTGATAACACCCACAACGGCTATATAAACACCGATCGAGCAGTCTCATTCTATTATACACAAGTGGAAGGACCACAGCGGAAGACGTGAAGCTTACGCAGGGAAGCAACGTCCCGGCGGTTGACGGGGGACCAATCTGGTATTTTTATAAACCGGCCCAAGTAATGTGAAATATACAAGACGGTTAACATTGTCATATCTTAGTCATAACCCAGTATAAGCTGTTGTCCGCCATACTTTTAATAGTTAATACTTTCATAGTGGCCGAATTCCAAATGGAGTGGGAGCGAAATAGAGGGGAGAATTCAATGCATCCCGACCTCTCAAGCACTCACGTATCAAGGCCGTCGGGAGTCGAGGCGTCGACTCATTTTGTCCACACACGCATGTCGCGAAGTTCCTTTTCAATTCCTTTTCTCGGGCTATGTTTTTGAATAGAATTCTGTCCCTACTGTGCCTAATTTCAATAATTTAGCGTTTATAGCAAATCTATAAAATTGTAGTGTAAAGGCCAAGAACAGCGAGGGATTACTGAATAAAAATTAAAAAATTGAATAAATGGTTTGTTTATTAGAAATTGAATAGAAAATGTGTTCCAATTATTATAAAGCTGAATGAGTGATGGGAACAGATCGGAAAAAGTCGAAAATGAAAAAGCTGAAGCTATCTGTGGAAACTTACGTGATAACATTTGAGCACCTTAAGGCCGCGCTTCATTCATCGTTCGTTCGTCGTCGTTCATCGTTCGCCGCTTCATAGTTCGCGAACTCCGGAGATTAGGATAGTACGCGACAATG